CTCAGTACCTTGGGGCTTGGCACTAGAATGGTCCACAAATAATATATTATGAGAAAGCAGCTTAAGGTTCCGAGATAAGTTGAAAACATAATGAAAAGTTACGGAGACTAGTGTCTAGGGTTCGAAAAATTTCCGAACCTCAATTTTTCTCAGCTCGCCATCGTTGTTGAATTGATAACCAAGATCTTTCAGAGATGCCATGACTGGATAGACACTGCCCGAAGTACTTTTTGGAGGAGTTTGATTTTTTTTACGTATCAGAAAGCGTGGACCACGGCGCTTCAATGGCAAGACAACTCGTCCCACAAGTCGCGGGGCTCGTCGCGATGTTTGCCCCTTTTGTTGATTGATTGCAAATTCGATTCCGTTTCCATCCCGTCACTCTGCGTTATTCTCTGGAAACTTTTGCTTTCCTCAGTGGCATTTGTACAACATTTTTCGTTCTTCAAATCGCTCGGTTTATCATTAAAATAAATACTATTTGGACAACTCCGTTTTATTGCCGAATTCGGATGATCACTCTCGCACTTGTGTAGTCATGATTGTTTTTTTTTCAGAAATCCTTATGTCCATTTAGACCGGTAATTCTAAATGGAAATCATGCAGGAAACATTTAAAGGCATCGAAAATCACTTTCACCACAGAACGTGGTACTTTTCTTTTTTGCGTGTGCTTTCCTTATGTACGGCCCTTACAACTGTTTAATAATTGACACCCAAGAACTAAATGTTTTGCCCTATTTTGTGTCGAACTGCTTTGTGCATCGTCTGATGTATCACAGCTTGTTCCTCCATTGATAGATGCCGAGCCAATTTTTTTTTCGTTAGAGCAACTTGTTGCTGTTTGAATAGCGATTCCAGATTGAGCGATATGCCACGAAAAAAAACAGCAGGCCAGTGAAAGGCTGTCATATTGTGTTCGTAATCACTACGTTGGAATGATTTGCGTAGGTTCCTGCTTCAACACGTTCCTGAAGATATCTTCTCACGAGTGGATATGTTGGGACG